AGCCACGGAGGGTTTTGACCCTCTGACGTAGGTGTGTGCCGGGGCGCGCTTTAGCAGTGACAGAGTTCCGGGCACGCCACATTACGCATGGCCGGTAAGGGTGTATAGAACGGAATACTTTTTGATTAATTTATTCTACTTTAATTTCCTACTTCTAACAAAGAGAATATACATGTAATAGTAAAAGAAGCATGTAGAAAGCTTTTTACTAACCAGAGGGCAGTGTTTTCGCGAGTTGGGAACTGATGATTGTCACCTCATAGGTTTATACTGAGGGAGAATCATTTACTTTAGCTTGATGTTAATGTTCATCATAGTATTCAGTGTATGAAAGGAAAAGAATTTGAAATCTCTAAACTTTAAAGAAAGTATAAAAGAGCCCATGGCCAAAGCTCGCGTGGCTTGACGAAAGTACAACGAATTCCAGTCATTTTTCCTAAAAATCATTTTTCCTAAATTCATTTTTCCTAAATTCATTTTTCCTAAAAATAATTTTTTCTTAAAATCATTTTTCCTAAAAGTCATTTTTCCTAGAAATCATTTTTCCTAAAAGTCATTTTTCCTAAAAATCATTTTTCCTAAAGTTCATTTTTCCTAAAACCGGTAAATACCGTAAATCTTTAGTACTATGCATGAGAAAATCGAAAATTTTTTAGAATAAGGTCAGATCCGCTTAGAGTGATCATAGGAAGTATTTTAGTTGCGCGTTTAGCCTAGATTTGGGTGATTTGAAGTGAAAAGGATCAATGAATAATAAGAAAGATTTTCGATAAAAGCCTACTAATAACCAAACTAAACAAATACTAGTTAAAAAATGATAGCATTTGGAATTTCTTGATATTTTTACGCATCCCTATTGAATGAAAAATTTTAGGAAAAATGAACTTTAGGAACAATGATTTTTAGGAAAAATGACTTTTAGGAAAAATGATTTTTAGGAAAAATGACTTTTAGGAAAAATGAATTTAGGAAAAATGAATTTAGGAAAAATGATTTTTAGGAAAAATGAACATAACCCAAGTACAACGTAATCTCGAGCCACTCCTGGACCCGCTACCATGTAAGATTTTTAGACCTCTTCGAAAGAGTTAAAGTTCTAGCAATTCTTTACATGTCTGTGGTTTTGTATGATTCTTCGTTGGCTTTATCTCCTTAGCTTTCATTGGCCAGGCACAGCCTACTTTGCCAAAGTTCCTGCGTCCCTGCTTCTTTGTAATGACTGGCTTTTTGTAATTAAAGACATCGCGGTAGCTTCTTATTTAGAAAAGTATTTCAGACGAGTGTCTACAATTAATATCGGGCAGAAGTGAACCAATCAACGAAAATACTGGTATATATTCCCAAAATTCCGAAAGCCATGATACTGACGATTAACTGTTCCAGATTCACCATAAATAGGTTCTTTTATTTATTAAAAATCCTTCTGCATACTTCTTTTACTTTATATATCCACTTTGTAAAAAATTCCGTTCTATACACCTAACGTCCCTGCGTAATGTGGCGCGTCCGGAACCCCCTCACTGCTAAAGCGCGCCCCGGCACACACTTACGTCAGAGGGTCAAAAACCCTCCCGTACGGTAGCCATTACTTTTCCTACCTCAATGAAGCATCACAAAATTGATTCAACTTCTGCATCTTGGCCAATAATGTCGGTTCCTTTGGAAATTTCTTCTCCGAAACGTAAAAGAGGAATTTGAGAAACCCGTGGAATGGAAGGCCTGTAATCCCCTGATTAAAGACTTTTAAAATTCAGTCACCTTGTCCAAGCTTCGATTGATCGCCAGTCAAATAGAAATTAATCTCAGCTGCCTTCAGATCTATCTCTCGGGAGGAGATTGCGGGGGTCAGGTTGCATTTTCTGAAAAGTATGCATACTCGAGGTGTCAAAACTCAATCCTTTATTTTATACCAGTATCCCGAGTATGGTCCGCGCTTCAAACCACACAAGACCCCATCCTGCAGAATTTGAATTTAAAGATTCTAAGCTCTTTCTTCAGGCGTTCCAGCATCCTGATAAGCCATAACGAGCAATTTCTGCGGAATTTGGCGGAAGAGGTGGCCTCTCGAGCGACATTGGCGCAATCGGTCTGCTGCGCGGCACAACCGGTCCTTACTGCGCTCAAAAAAAACTCAATCCTTTGAAAACGGTAATCTTATGTTTCTCGACGATAAATTTTTTCATAAACGGTTCAGATAAGTTGGAAATAGAAATCATTAGTGGAATTTCGTGGTCGAAACGTCTCTACTCAAACTACGTCGTAGAAACGTCGATTAGAGGATTAAATGTCGAAAAACTCAATCCTTGAGAAACGGTTCTCGCGTTACGAAATCGGTTGCATTTGGTCAAGTAACGTCCAGTTAACGCCAAAATTGGAATCGATAGTGGTAATTCGTTTTTCAGAGGCTTTTAGCACAGAAGCAGCAGTTCCTGAGCGCTTAAAAACTCAATCCTTCGGAAAAGGTTCTCGCGGTTTGAAACCGAATGAATTTCGTTAATTACCTTTCAATTACATCAAAATTAGGAATAAACTACCTTTTATTTTTAGAAACTATTTTAAACTTACTTTACAAACTGTTTGAGGCCTCCAAGTGAGATATTGATTGATGCTCGTAGATGGACAAATTGCATGAAGAGGTAGACGGCTTTGTCGAGGAATAGGAGGTGGAAGGGAATGGGCTCCATATCGATTCGGGAAAATCTATAGAAATAGACAGTTCACCTGATTTTGAAGTTAGAAAGCTTACTTCCGATAAATGCGGCTTTTTCTTAGCCCTCAAGGTGTCGAGGTCATCTTGTGTATGATCTGGGAGTTGGGAGCTGGTTGTCGAATGGATTGCACTGGAATTAAAGATTTAATTGATTTACCAGGGTTGAAAAGTTGCTTCATGATTTTTTCAACTCCGGCCCTGTCTCGGACCCCATACTATCTCGGCCTTTTGCATAATTGTCCTCGATTCAGAACACAAAAAAATGAAAAACAACCCTTTCTGCCTCTTTATATAGGCGACCACCCACTTCCGGTCTATGCTAATTATTCCTAACAAAGGAGGTTTTTACTAAAAACCTAAATTTAATAGCAAAAATGGCTTAATTTTTAAAAATCTGATATGTGTGCAGTCATCCCTAGATCCAGTACACACCTAATCGACGTATCATTCAGAAGGCTTATCACCCTCGGCCTCTTGAGAGATATCCTCCGGACAGACAGGACGGAAGTGGATGCAAAGTGGCACACACACACACAAACACACACACAGACACTATTTTTTATATATCGTAGGATCTATTTTTTTTTTATTAATAGTGTTGACTCCTTCGCTACGCGGGGGGTTCAGCGCTGGCCTTGGGCTCCCAATTTGAATTTGGGATTTGAATGCAAAATTTGGCCGAATTACGGTCGGCCGGTCGGGCGCACGGACATTAGAAATTTATACATAGTAGATCTGCTCTGTCAACCAACCTTCTCTAGCT